TGATGGCCCAGGACATAATCTCTGCTACTCAAGTGGAATTGCAAGCAGCCAAGACAACAAAACAACCTGCGGCTTTGACCTCCAGTGTCAAAGGTTAATTTCATTCTATCCATAATTTTATTTAACCTATATTCACAGCCTCTACTCTAGGCTCTACCAACCCCCACTCAGCCTCCCAAATTTCATTTCACTCCACTTGAAAACAAAATCCCTTGAAGAAAAAAAAATTTGTATATTTCTTTACATTAAGTATGAAAATTATAAATAACAATGAAAAAAAAAACTCTCAGGCTCTCCATGTTTGGAAAAATTCACTTTTCAATGTTTATTTTCATTTGATATTATAATAGCAAAAGTTAAAAATTAAAAAATCATGTTATATATATATATATATATGCCAAATGTTTTTTTGTCCAAAAAAATGCCTTTTGAATTGATCCCACAGATACCGGATTGGTATTGGATCTGCGGCGATACCGCCTGCTGCAATCCAATAACCTGGGTATTGGATTGCATGGGGCAATCAAATACCCCTTTTTTTGATCCCTGGGATTGATTAAGCAATCCAATAAATTGACTGATACCAACAATGAAACGGATGCAATGCGTGCATTGGAATTGCATCGCATTGGGCATTTATCACATCGTATCGGAGTGAGCGATGCGGGGGCCCGCATCGGAAAAACTGATGCAGAGGATTGGCATTGCATCAATTTCCCAATGCAATGCTGATACTTTGCAGGCAATGCCGATGTTATCGGCAGGCATTGCCTGAACCTCCCTCCGGAGTCCCCTGACATGAGGAGGGACTCAGGAGGGGTTGTTGGGTTGCTGACTCTGACTCCTGTCCTGAGTTGACTCAAGGGAGAGTCACTCCGAGCGCCACCCTGAATCCTGACTCAACAACTCAACAGCGACTTGAATCCGATTTGTGAACTCGATTCATGGAATTGGATTAACTCCCCTCAACGGTCGTTCACTGCCATCTGGACTCGATCGTTATCATTAAACAGACAAAACGGCTCGTCAGCCTGACCCTGAGGAACCCCACCCCATTGATGGTAGTGTACCAATTGATCCCGCATTCTTGTCTGACCACCAGTTGAATCACTCTGAGCCTGACTTAAGACCACACCACCATCACCAGCCTCCCCCAGCTACTTCAGATTCACAACCTATCACACCACCATCACAACTCTGCTTCAGATTCACAATCTCTCACAACTATACCATCACCAGCCTCCACCTGCTAATCCCCCCAACTGTGCTTCAGATTCACATCCTCTCCCAACCATCACAGCTCAGACTCCACCACTCACAA